TATAATGAAGTATTCATCTAGACTGTAAGGTCAAGACACGTGTTAGGCTCTGATACCAATTGAGAAACGCAAGATTCGACCCTACTATACGTAAATGGGGGTAATTAGGTGTAGATGCGGAATTAAAACTTTAATTAACAAGCAACAAGTCACAAGTTAATTATGTCTAGGTGATTAGTCAAATAATTCAAATTATCCTATATTTGAATACCGCAATTTGTATAATAAACAATAAATATAAAAACAATAAATAAAGAGCACCAATATGATGATGGAGAAACCCAAATGGGAAAAACTCCAGGACCAAGCCAGTTACCTCCACTATAGACAATATGGATTACAGTATGTTTCCAGATAGAAACTTCACTCGTTCTCGCTATTGTAATTCCTGCAATCTCCAAGATCTTCTATACTTTCCAGTCTCACAATCTATTACCGTAGACACTATTTAGCTAACCTGCTAGGCTTCCCGTTCTACCTTCTATAGCCTCCTAATATGTTGTTTCCTTCCAGCTTTTTGATCTTCTATTGTCTCTTCCAAGTGGAATTTCAAGAATCTCTAATTCTTGTGGTTTTCCTGTACTTGCAGTCCACACCTTCCAAATCTCAATAAAAGAGTCAGTTCCTTAAAAGATTAAAGATGCCGGTGTTTTGGATTATGGAACTTTTGATGTTTTTCAAAATTGGGTTGCTTGATCACAACAATGAATATGGATGACTCAATCAAAGAATAGCTTCTTGGATATCTCAAAGATGTAGAGAATATGATATGCATGAGAGGCACAATGTAGCAACCTTACAAAAGTCTTCCAAAGCCTTTGTATTTATAGTTGGAGGTGTTTAAGTAGTATGGGCCGTGTAAAACTCTCCAAAATCGCGAATCAGGGTTGACCGCACAGGTAGGTCGCTCGAACGAGCTGTTGGCAAAACTCGGGTNACGACTGAGAATTTAGAACATAACTTGTGCGGCTCTTAGAAATTAATTAGACTTCTAATTGCATTCCCTTTATTATATACGATCTTATTGGATATCTTGGACTCCTTCAAGGACCCAAACCCTAACTTACCTAATTCATACAAATTTCACTCTAGGTCCTTAATTTTTACAACACATTACAAATTAGTCATTTGTCCACAGAATTGCCAACACTAAAAATCTAACAAGGTTCACTATGATGATTGTAGACGAGTCATGTCAGAATAATATCAGTGAGTATGAATAATATCAGTGAGTATCTTTATCCTTGATTTTTCTATTTCTACCAATGATTTCTTGAAATCGTGTATTTTCATCTATAACCATTTCAATTTATAGAGTCTACGCTTCCATCATATCTTCAATTCTAATGACCAAATTTGTAAATTTTGAGTTTTAATGAGCAGCTTTAATTTAATGTATTCAATATTTATTATTTGTTAGAATTTACAATAAGTGTTAATTAAAAATAATAATATAATTAAAATAAATATAAAATAAAGTTAAATCATTAAATGCTAAAACGATAGAAAAAGGACATAGAAGAAATTACAATTTATAGTACTATAAAATGAATGACAAAAGGCAAAAAAAAAATCAAAAATTACACAAATGAACATTATTACACCAAATTGGAGTGATGATTTGATATAACCATTGAAGTAAATTTTTACACCAATTTTATGTATCATTGAAGATGCCCTTACCACCACTAAGATGATGAACCAAAAGCTCACTTCTTAGTAGTCCAACAAAGGACAACACAAAAATGGTAGTTTAATTTAGGGTTATTAGTACAAAACGTTCATACGTTTGAAGTTCATTGTGCAAAACATTATCACCTTACATTTTTTTTTCTTTTTTTTTTTGCATTTTCACTCCTATTTGCACCTTTCTTTACAGAATTCATCGTTTCGATTTATTTAATTCAATATCTCGATAAAAAAAATATATGAAATGACGAATGTACATTTATATTTAAATAAAATAAAAAGAAATAAAAATAAAGAACTACTTGTAATCATACTCCCAATTTTTTTTTTTTTTAAAAATGCAAACGAATTTCAAACAAATTATTAAAAAATAATAAAAACTATTTCTTTCTCCTCCTCGTCCACCACCCACCACCACCAACACCAACACCAACTTTTTTCCCCCATCCAATCCCACTTGGATTCGAGGAAAAAAAAGTCAATATGAAAGATATAACTAGATCCTGAATATAGTCATTTTCTGAATTTGACAAATAGTGAATACAGATAATCCAAAAACATGTTGAGTCAATTTCCATGGATTCTCTCATCTTCCCAATTTATAATGTCCCTTCGCGCCTATGTGAAAACCCACTGCCCCAAATTCTTCTCCATTGAAAAACCTCCACTCGTTCTCCAAATCAATGGAAGAGTCCAATCCATCCGCCGGAATAAGAGATACTCCGCCGTCCTTCGTTCCTTTAGTGCCGATGGTTCCAATTTTCGTACCCTTGAAAACACTTGAGGAATTGGAATCGCCAGCTTACTTTAAATCGTTCCATTACCCTTTCAACGAGGCTACTGAGAAGTTGAAGGGAGATTTGTCTAACAGACATGTTAAGATTTGGGTTCCATCTTAAAAATGTCAATTTTATTAAGAGGAGTAACACAATCCTTAATAAGTTGATTTATGTTTATATCTTTATTCGATGTAAGATTCTATCCCTTAACATGCCCTGCAAGATGATGACTCATTTGAGCATACCAATCTTGAAATCAGTGCTCACTTTTGGAATCTTAACAGGATCGAATTGTTCGTTAGAGTTTAATGGGTTATGATACCATGTTAAGATTTGGAGTTCCATATTAAAAATGTCAACTTTATTAAGAGAAGTAACACAATATTTTATAAGTTGGTTTATATTGACATCTTTATTCGATGTGAAATTTTATCTCTTAATAGGCACTGGATTTTGGTGTGCCATGACATGGCGTGAAGGTATATTGATGATAAATTTGTGCAATGTGGGGGTGAATGCTGATGCCTACGTGATTCGACACTGGTATTTTATTGATATTTTTTCGCATAATTTGGTGACTTTGCCGCTTTCTTGCTGGACTAATACTGCTCACAAACATGGTGCAACTCCATTGAACGGATTTAAGGGGAAAAAATTGGGATTGCATGGCGGAAAAGGTTGGTGAACGACGAAAAAAAAAACAAGGAGAAAGAAAGATATTGTTTTTCAATTTTTAATTTTTTAATAATTTATTTGAGACTCATTTACACATTTTTAAAAATAAATTGCGAGTATGAATGAAGTAGTTCTTCATTTTTCTTTTCTTTTTGATAATTTCAGCAATGAAATGTGTAAATATGTGTAAAAATACAAAAAAATGTAAGATGTGAACGTTTTGCATAATAAACTTCAAACGGCTTGACTTTTTTTACTAATAACACTTTAATTTATACTCGAGTATTCAATTGAATTCTCTCACGACATGATTGAAATAAAGACCTCCTCCTTAAAATAATCTAAGATCAAGGTAATCCAATCCGCTATGCAAAGTGGAGAAATGAACGGACGAAGATACTCCACAAAGTGGAGTCGAAGTAGAGGTGTTAAAACGTAATCACGCTAAAGATTAATTATTCTACATAGAAGGGAACATCATACTCCGTCTATATTTTTGCAATTCCAGCATGATTTTTTTCTCAAAAAATAATAAAGTTTTAATAAACGCCTTTCTAAGCCCCTGTTTGGCCCCCATTATTTGGCATTTTTTATAGTTGAAAATTTTTGGAATAGTGATTGATGGGAGAATGTGTGGTGGAATAGTAATGAAAAGTTTTAGATTTATGTGTAATATTATTTTATTTGATGAATGTGTGGTTGTAATGAAGAGAGTGAAAAATTTAATTTGGAAACTACATTTAGCCCCTGTTTGGCCTCAATTATCTGACATTTTTGATAGTTGAAAATTTTTGGAATAGTAATTGATGGGAGAATGTGTGGTGAAAAAGTAATGAAAAGTTTTAGATTTGTGTGTAATATTATTTTATTTGATAAATGTGTGGTTGTAACGAAGAGAGAGAAAAATTTAATGTAATGTAATTTAATTTAATGGGGGCCAAACAGGGGCTAAATCTTCAGATAAATAAAATGTTCTGTACACTTTTGATCTTTTTTCTTTTCTGAATAAAATTGCTTGATTCAAATTTTGAAATATTGAATCATCAAAATTCGTTGTTAACTTTACTTTAAAGCAAAATTCACGCACCAGAATTGCATTTAGTACAACTTTTGGCTTCAATGTAAAGAAAATAAACAAATCTTCGCTAGTTGTTTATAAAAATCTCAATATGAATAGAGCTTGAGATGCTTCCAGTACTTGTTCACCGGAGCCATAAAGCCAACTGAATTAATTTGGGTTTTGCTATTCATCCAGGGTCACGTGTACCCGGGAGGTCTGGACGAATAGGGGGCAAAATTGAATTTACGTGTAAAATATTTAATTGATTAAATGTGTGATTGAAAATGAGTATAAAATTAAAGAGTTTTCAAATAATGATTGTTAGATGAGAATGGCCGACCCGTCCCATACCCGCTCCGTCGTCATCCCTATAAGCTCGTGTTTGATAGCCATTATTTTTAGAAAATAGAGTTTTAAATAGTATTTTTTCCTAAAAAATGTGAAGTTAAAAAATAAGAGAAGATTTATATTTATATTTTATTTTATTTATTGTGTAAATATATGATTAAAAATCAGTACATATTTTTTTTTAAAAGAATAAAAGACAAAGCGGGGCCTAATTAGTCAAAGATGCCAAAGTTTGACATCATACAAATTATCTTCAGCCATTATTACCGACCGCTAATTTCTAGATCCTTCCACAACGTTCCACCACCGCCGCCGCCTCCGCATATATATTCCTCAGCAAGCAGATATCTACAACATTATTTTTCATTTCGACTGAAAATCCCCCAACCCCTCCCCCAACCCCCTCTCCTTCCCCTCGTCGCACCAAAGTAGAAAAGCAGAAATTTAAAATGGCTTCATCGGGGTCGGAGATGAGATCATCTGTGCCGCCGTCTCTAGAAGAATTAAGCACCAGAGGCGCCACCGCCTTCCTTCTTCCATGGATCCTCAGCATGGCCACTGCCTCGTCTCAACAACCCCGCGATGTTGTGGTGTTCATAAACCAAGCCACAGGGGCTATAACCATGATCGAAGGTTCCCTCGACGTCGAAGCGTTCCTCAGCGGCATGCCCAGGAAGGAAGGGCCGTTGCCGGCGTCAAAAGCGTCTATCGACTCCATGCCGGTGGTGAAAATAACGGACCTGGGTTCGGAGTGTCCGATTTGCATAACGGAGTTTGAGGTGAACGGGGAGGTCAAAGAGATGCCGTGCAAGCACAAATTCCATTCGGGTTGTATTGACAAGTGGTTGCGGGTCAGTGGGTCGTGCCCGGTTTGTCGGTACAATATGCCGGTCGAGGAGAAGAAAGAAACTAATGGTGAAGAAGAGGAGGTGGAAACGAGAGAGGGACCGGGGATGAGAATTCACGTGTTTGTTGCACGTGGTGGCAACCAGAGGGAGGCGGGTTCGGATATGAGTGTCCGGTCCGGACACGAGAGCTCGGAGAGCAATCCAGGAAGTGAGAATAGAAACCGGTTGCAACCCGGAAACATGGATTTAGATCAATAGGAAACTATATATTTTGTTTAATTTTTTTGTTGGGGTGGGGTTGGGGTGAGGGTGTTAGTTAGTTTGGCATAGGTTAGGTGAGGATTTTGTACAGATAGAACATAGATGTGCTTTTAACATGCAATTGAAATCTTTATAGATGAGGAAATAGAATCTCACTGAAATATGATTTATGTAATTGATTTTTAAGTTAGCTTAGTACTAATCTTGATTATGATTTTGTGAAGGGAAATTTGCATTGGAGTCTAAATATTTCAAGAATGTGCATTAAGAACTTTTCAATAATAGTAGAGACATCTCAAACCTCTCAAAAAAAAAGAGTGCCACCAAAAAATTTTAGTTGGTTTTTATCCAAAAATTTGGTAATTGATCAAAAGTAATACATTTGATCATAATTTGATTTTTCTTAAAAAGTAATTTTTTAACATTTAATTCATTAAAGCAAGAAAATTTGCAAGACGTAAAAAATATGTGCAATTACTATCAAACTTTAATAAATGTGCAGTGAAAGAACCTCAAATGATTCTCATCCCAACAATCATGTGATGCCGTTGGGAGCGTTTGACACCCTCTCTGACAGCATACTCATTATGGGAGGAGCACTTTTTTGAAATTTTTTATTCACACGAGTTCCACTCGAGATCTCACACGCATATGAGTGTCGGTCAAGGAGAGTGTCAAAACTCTTTTTGGCAAATGAGCTTAATTGTCATCCTAAAATTTGTTACTCCCAGTTGGTTTTGAATAAAATTTTTCTATCTTGTTTCTTTTCAATTCTTTAAAGGTTTTGTTAGGAGAAAATTTAGTTGATGAGATAGAGAAAATAGGGACGACGAAGGTGGAGAAAATGAGGAGGCTAAAACTCACAAGTCAAGATATAGGAGATTGGAGCGACGACAATAATAAATTTTTGGATGAAAATCGTCATTTGTCCTTTTTACCCTCATTTTTCAACTAAAACTCACTAGTCAAGATATAGGAGATTGGAGCAACGACAATAATAAATTTTTGGATGAAAATCGTCATTTGTCCTTTTTACCCACATTTTTGAAACATTTGGGACCGCGTTGCACATTTTAGAAACATTTGAGAGCTTCGATGTAAATTTTCTTGTTTTAATTAATCAATGTTAAAAGATCATTTTGCCATTTTAAAATTGCTAAAAATTTAGAGAGTAGTGTTTGATTTGATTAACTAATAGATTTTTGGTTGAAAACTGTTACAGATCTTTCCGACACATTTATTAAAAGATTTGAGACATAGCTACTATGATTTAAAGGTTTGAGATCATACTGCATATTTTTGAAAGGTTTAAGACCTTTGCTGCAAATATTTAATTGTAAAGATTTCCGCTATATGCAATTCAACCCGCAAGTGATTAAATATTTAATGTAATATCACATGTTGATTGCTTTTTTAATGCGTTGATATGTCGAAGTTTACATGAAAGATCCTTGGCAATATATGTTTGTGTCTTCGCATGTTATTTATAGAGAACATGTCGTCATTAGTCTCAATGAACAATATAAGCTGTTAAGCAACATTACGTGCAATGCTAGAGAGATTAGTTCGTCAATATCTCGATGACTCCTTTGACTTCATTAATAAATACAAGGACCTAATGTTCGTATCAATATTTCCCCGCGCAACATTGATATTAATGTTGATGTACCCACAAGTTTTTGACGTGAACACAAGGCAGTGGTACTCTAAATTAACTGGACAAGATAATAATCATGTACGTATCGTGTATCTCTCTTAACCATATTCAGATTTATCTAATTTAACATATTAAATATGCTGTCGGCATTTATTTCTCTCATAGAATATATGCATATATATCTCTTTATTTAAAGTCAGATATGAATATTTTTATACTCTTTTAATAGCGATGGCTGCAATAAATAGTGCCACTGGAACTATATTATCGATAGATCTACGAGATGGACAAATTACAATTATGATTTTAATTAAATTAACTAAAAAGGACCCCAATTGGGATGAAAGAAAATGAACAAGAAATTGACTTTTTTACGTTTTTTTCCCAGAAGTCTCCATTTACTAGTAAAAAAATCATTATTTTGAAAATATTTACCCAATTTAAAGATAGAAATTTTGTACTATTCCAGTTTGGCAAGCCTTGAGATTTTTGGGGGCATTTTGACCTTCTTTGTTTGAGATATTTATGTACACTTCATGATTTTATCTATATATATATACAGGGGCGGAGTCAGAAAATAACATTAGGATGGACTGAAATTTAAAAATAATGAACTCACACCATAAGAGGCTAAACTCATGACAAAGAGTGTACGACACTTAATGAAATAAAAAAAGTCTAGATGTTTCATCATAAGATGACACATTCGATCTTTTTATATTTTCTTTCCAAATAAAAAATCAACGCATTGGTTAAAAAATATAAATTGACCAAATCATGATCAAAATAAGCAAATGATACATATCCACTAATAAAAAACTAAGAAATTATTTAATAAATACTATTCTAAAATACTTTGACGATTGATTTTCCCAAACAATTGAAAGCTTTGGCCGAGGCGCTATCAATAATACATCACTATATGTTATTGTCTCAAAATATTATTTGGTGTGGACGTCATTCTTCTATATCACTTCATTTCATAATAAGTGAAGAATCACATCCAAAGTGAGAAAAATCGATTAAGAATTATGAGGGTCCAAGGAAATTAGATTTAATTCATAACCATGTTTGACTCAGTTTCAAAAATATATTTATATATAAATCAATTTATAAATAAATAAACTTTAACAAATATTCTTTTATTGATAAGATAGAATTTAGAGCAAATTATTTATTTTGATCATAACGTCTATTTTAGGATCGAAACGAATAATTTTTTCATTTTTTTTATAAATATGAATAAGTAATATATGAAAACATTCATTGAATAAAAATTTTAATTACTTTTAAGTTTAGCAAAACATATAGTGTCTCTAACTATTAAAATAAGTAATTTATTTTTATTATCAATTATAAAATTTCCTTAATTATCATAAGTAAATTTAGTAAAAGATGCATTAATTAAAATGCTTAAGCGTGAATATCATGAAAGAGTATTTAATAATTGTAGTCTCTTTAACAAAAATTGAATAAATAAGCATTGGACTTAGATTATAATTCAAACTAGAGTTGGGCTAACACAATTTAATAATGGGCAACTTACACAAATGCCCTAATTTTTGGGGTGGTTTTGAAAACTCATGACAAAATTGGGTTAAATGGTAAGTACGTATTTTTTATGCTCAAACATAAACCAACAGTAGCTTCCAAAATTGCAGCATTGACGTATGCCAAGCTCGAGAAATCGAAGGGAAAAAGAAAAAATATTCTGCAAATAAAACACAATCAAGATCAAGATTGCATCAATCATCTATTTTTCAAAGTTTTCTTCCTCAAATCTGAACAAAAATTACAAATTTTTTATGTTTTGGTTTTTTTTTTTTTTTGGCTCAATTAGTTCCTCAATTCTGTCCATTTAAGATGGTCCAATTAGTTCCCCAACAAGAATTGCATTATAATATTTTGTTGTGAACGGTAAATAGATTCTATTTTGCTATGAAAAAAAATTTTTTTTTTTTTTTTT